CCCTGGTGGACACTAGAGAGGATGCAGCTTTAACACATGAAGCTTTGGCTTCACTTGTCAGAATCAGAGGTTGTCGCCTGGTAAGAATAATAAACCCAGTTACAATAACTGACTTCCTGTTGGTTCAGAGCACCAGCATGCAGCTGTCCAGTTTAGAAGCTACTCACTGGTGTACATCGTTGAGCTCCTGAGGGTGAACCAGATCGTCCCGACCGAGACCGGCGGTCTGCTGGACCGACTGGGACTCAACCATCCAGGTCTGAACAGAAGATGCCTGGTCCGTGGACGCCGACGTCGGTGCAGATGGTTGTAAATGAACGCTCCTGTCAGCCAGGTGAGGGGCATGATGGGAAGCCACCGAGCTCACAGCGCCAGCGGCTCCGGCAGAGGCCTCTTGGACGAAGGTCGACTCATCGTGTAATCTCAAGCCCAGAGAGCGCCTGTTGGTCGGGCGGTTTGAGGGTTCAGGACGCCCAGAGGGCTGCTGGGTAGGATCAGGGTTCACACTGGTGGCCGTTTCTACTAGAGACAGCTGCAGCAAAGGAAACAAAGGTCGGTGTTTCACGTACGTCAGATTGTAGGTCTCTGGCTGACTTGACGGGATAGTTTGGATTTTTTTAAGCGGGGTTGTTGGAGGTTTCTCCACAGCACCAGACTCCATACATAAAAACAGATTCTACCTCTCAGGACACTGGAGCTGTTGGTCTACTGATGCCTCCATCTGTTAGTGAGTTTGTGTGACTTTTAGTGAATCTGAATAAAACTTTTAAAACACTAGACACAACAACACAGTAACAGATGGAGGCAGCAGTAGAGCAGCAGCTCCTGTGTCCTGAGAGGTAGAATCAGTGTTTCAGGGAAAGGAGTCTGGTGTCTTTGTAGAGATTACATGTTCTCCTGTCTGGTTCTATAAACTCATCTCCTGTAGTAGAACCCTGACTGTGGAGAAGAACCTCATACAAACACACTACTGTCCCTTTAACTCAGACATATCCAAGTGTCCCATCTGCACCCGAGTCAGAGGTCAGAAACTCAGAAGTACGATGACTCTGATACGACATGAATGCATAACTTAAAGTCTTTTATCTTCAGATGAAGCGCTCATCAACAACACGAATAAGAACCAAACATGCTTCAGTCTCACCCTCTGCAGTGACAGCTCGCTGGTTAAACCTCCACACGCCTCTGGGTCAAGGTTCGCTTTCTCCAAAGTACTTTTAATGCTCAGGATGCCTTCTTCCTGCTTCATAATCATCGTCTCCACTGGAAACAGAACTGAGTTCATTTAGCAGTATGTGAAATTTGTTTTTAATCTTAAATGACATCACAGCAGGTTTATTTCTTTCCCACTGCAGTTTAATTCATAAAGCATCAGCTTACTCATCTCTCGCCTGTCCATCGCCTGCTTCTCCTTCAGCTTCTGGAAGTATTTTGCTGCTCGGACTTCCTCAAAGCAGAGCTCAGATCCCTCACACACGAGCACCTCCTTCGTGTACGCCGGCACGGTGTGAACACCGGAGCTCGAGGGAATCGTCCCTGAAGTCTCAGAGCGAGAGACTCTGAGGAGGAGGACGACACACGTCAGATGGTATCAGTTTCATAGTTCGGCTGGACACGTATTTATGCAGCACGTCACACAGTCCACATGCTGTGCCTCTGACAATCAGGAGAAGCACCCTCTGAAGGAAAGTCACCACCTCTTTGAGTGGATGTCTAATCAGCAGTGAATGACTCCTCAGTGACTACATGTACCAGGATGCACGGCTGCATTCACCTTTTATCTGAACACGTTGTAATCTAGCTTCAGTTGTAGAGCGTAAGTGTGATAACTTTGCTCAGCGTCACCAACTTGATCGTCCTTTGCGCGACATTTTTTTTTAGCTTTAATCCTCTGAACCCTTAAAACCAACCAGCAGGATGGAAAAGCATGTTTTCTTTTAAACAATCCGCAAAACTTCACTGTTCATCAGCCAGAAGCTGTAAAAACGGTCTTTATCGTCAGAGTTTCATCTATCCGACGGTCCTTGAACACATCGTGTGTGACGCACGGTTCCGAAACAAAGCCTTCAATTATTATATTCCATCAACAACATTTTATTCTTCATGTTCTCATTATAAATGTCTCCTCTAGTAAAGAGTTCACTTTAACCAGATTGTGTAAAAACATTAAAGTGTGAAACTATGACGTCATGATTGATTCATCTGAGACCAACAGTCATGTGACAACAAGGAGACACTCTGACTGAACTACAGGAAGTGAACACGGAGAGGAGAGGCTGAAACATGTGAATAGTTTTATAACGTGTAGAGCCTCCATCTGCATGTTTAACCGTGTTTTCATGTGTTTTAGTGTCATCTGAAGACTGACTCTCTAGCTTCAGTGTTTAGTGTTTCAGAGACACGAACACCTGCAGAACTTTACACACAAACCATGAAAGGTGACTCACGTTATGACGGTTCTATACGCCGGTGGGTTAGCGGGACAGTCCACAGAGTCCTGTAACAGAGGGCGAGGATTAGCGATGGATCTGAACATCGTATTGATATTAAACGATCATCACTGACGACCAAAGACACTCGCCTTGTTTGCAGCTGCCGGCTCTCTGTGAGAGGACATCTGATTGGTTAAGAGGGAGTTCTGCAACGGGTTTTGACTCCCAGCTTTTAAGAAACAAATATATTGAATAAATATTTATATATTAAACATAAATATCAACAGACGGAGAAGGACGTGGATGAGACACTTACCGGATACTGGTGTCTGGCTTCTGGTTCTCGTCTGAAACTGCCTGCAGATCAGATTTACTTTTCAGCACATTGAAGTTATTGTTGAGCATGTTAGTGACTGTACGAGTCACACTCAAACCACTATGTAACTCCTGGTAGAGAGAGCGGCCAACATAAACACAGTAATGTATTTATCGTTACCCGTGTTCACCGAGGACGGTGTCGGCTGGCTGGGCTCGGTTCTCCGTGGCCTTCTGGTACACGGCCTCGGCCTGGTCGTTCATCCCCCTCTGTTCACACTGCTGAGCCCAGGCCACGTAGAAGGCAGCGGTCGTGGTGCCGACACCTTTACTGAACACGTGAGTGTACAGAGCGACGGGGTCCGAGTAATAACTCGCCTGTGATGCAGAGACGCAGTGATGAGACGCTCATGTGAGGCCTTTAGTCTGGACAACATCTCAGTGACACTTACACATCTGATGCAGTGGTTCACGTATCTGATGTCGTTGGCGTATTGCTCGACATTCAGAAACCTCTGAACCAGAGTGTCGAACACCTGCGACATCCCGCTGCCTCCGTCTGCTGGTGATCTCTGCTCCAGGTACTCCACGAACCTGGGAATAGAGCGGCAAGAGAGGCGTGCAGTCACGTACCTTATTCACCTGATTGCACATAAATAGGTGGGAAGATCATACGGGGATGACAGTTTGCCTAAACATAAGGAAAATAAGGAAAGAGCACCATGAAGTCACCATTCCACCTGAGACTCCACCTCCAGGTACATGAGACTGTAACGAGCTCTGAAAGTAAACTGTGAGCTGTGCATCTTGTGAACATCTTCAATTAAAGAATATCGCAGGTAAACAAACTGTAGGACACACAGACTTTAATATCTACTCTTGTTAGAACATTCAACCTCAGACAAGAGAAATAACAGAGTAAAGAAATATAAAAAATGCATATTATATACACAATAAAATAGAATGATATTAAATTAACCAACTAAAAAAATGAAGTAAAGGTACCTCAAACTTGTACTTTTCCTCAACTGATATTTCTTTCCTCCACAAACAACGTTCCCAACGTTCCCCAACAAACACCAGAGCTAGCTAGCTAATGCTAACCGGTTCTACTCACTTGTCCCACGGGTCCAGAGGGTCGTGTCCCGTGTACGAGCCCAGTCTGCTCTCAAAGTGTCTGAAATAATACACACAATTAAAGGAGAGCAGAAACAACGAGGAACGGTTGTGTTAGTTCGTAAATAAGTTGCAATTCGACGACAGCAACAAAGCTAACCTAGCTAGCATGAAGCTAACACCGGATAGCGCTGACTTACTGTAAATAAGAGGGAATATCCATTATGTATTTAAATAAAGTCCTTTTGTTGTGTTGTGTTCGACATCTATCGGGTCGATTGTTTCACGGATCAGTTCCGCTCATCGTTTAGGTTTGTTTCTCTCGCGCTGAAGGTACCACTAACGGTACATTTTAAATTCCGCGCTCAGCCAATAGCAACACGAGGATTTGACGGTGATTCTAAAATCACGCCCCCCAAAGTGTGACGTATTTCCGGTGCAAAAAATACTCAAATAAAAATAAATAAAATAAAATAAATGAAAATGTAACAACCTTTTTTTGTAGTGTTTTATATCAAGACAAATAAAAAATGTGACATAATGATGTTTTGCAATTTATTTTCACGTAACACAATATTTTTGTCCGCGTCCGTGTCACGTGGACGTTGAATCAGCTGATCAAAACACGGAAGTGGATGACACGTGAAGGAGGTGAAGAGCTGCTCTGAACGTCTTCTTCTTTAGGATTTATGAATCGTTATCCGGTTGTTTTAACGTTTCGACGTTACGGTGGGGTCTGAAAGTGGTCGTGTTTCATCTGTGAGTCATTAACGGTTTTCTGAGTCGGTTTTTAATGTGATCCGGTGGTTTTGCGGTCATTTTTTACCTTATATTTTCTATTTTAGAGTACTTCAGCTACCATATGAGATGTAAAACATCATAAAGAGACATACGTTTATCGTAAACATATATTTAAACTGTGGTGGAAGAAGTACTCAGGTATTTTACTTCAGTAAAAGTACTAATATGCTACCACAGTGTACAAATACTCTGTTATGAGTAAAAGTCCTGCATTCAAAGCATCAGCATCAAAATATAGTTAAAGTACTTATTATGCAGAATGGCACATTTCAGAATATATATTATATTACTGTATTATAATTATTGAGCTCATGGAGCTCATTTTATTTACATTGAAAAGTATTTTACTTTATATTCTGCTGGGTAGCTTAATAATAATACATCATAATGTATTAGTGGATTTATGATTTAGTATTGATAATCTGAATCGTTTCAGTTTATTCACCAAACGGACATTAAAGTCAATAATAAGACATAAAGGACTTATGTGACGTGGGACAAACTGATAAGCTATGAGCTTGAGAACAGACTTTAAATATATGTTTGTTTACCAACATGTTGGCATTTTAGTGCATAGTTGGACTAGTTCTCCGTCCACAGGAAGCAGCTGTAGAAGTAAACGTATGGCTTCATAACGTCCTTGTCTTTGTCCTCTCCCTCCTCTCCTCGTCGTGCTGGACTTGCCTCCCCAGTCGGCTGCAGCAGCTGCTGCTGATGGAGAAGGTGTTTCGCTGTCCGGCCCGTCATGGCTACGCTGTGGAGGTGTCTCCGTTCATCCCCAACAGACTGGCCTGCGCCGCCTCCCAGTACTACGGCATCGCTGGTGAGTGTGCTGCTGTTACGACCTGTTCAGACACTCCGTGGGACACACACATGTGGACATCAGAGACATGATGGTGACAAATTAAAGTCACATCTGGATAAATGACACACACATACAGCACGGTTTCATAATCCAACATCTGCTTATCAGATCTGAATCTAATTACATCTAGTTAGACTCCATTTAGATCACCTTTTGTTGGTCACTGAAACGCCTCCTTCATGTTCACAGCCGACTGGTTTCTACTGGTTTTAAGATACTGGTTCTGCCTCTGCATGGCTCTCTATGTTGATAAGCTGGAAATGAGGACCTGATGTGCAGAAACGTTTCACTGTGAAGCTCTGAGGAGTGTAAGAAAATATGGTTACTCTCGAGTGTGTCAGTGTTTCTCTCGTGTTATGATGCAGGAGTTATGGGTCAACGTATTACAACACTGTAACGGAGGCGACATATTGAGGTTTTTAAATCAAATTTTAGAAAAACTGTCTTCGTAGAAAGAACGCATCAAGATATGCATTAAGTTAAGTTTTTCATGCAACCAGGACTGTGAGATCTGCATTTACGTTCATCACAGTCGCTGTAACATCCGACATCAAAGCGCCACTTTCTGTGCAGTCTGAGCAGCCGTCTTCCACCAATCTCTGCATCTTAACTATTAATAATCAATAGTGCTTTTGAGAGATGATACAGTGTCACAAAACACAACAATGCTCGACTTAAGTGTGTCAATATTTGTGATACTGTTTTGGTTTTAGTTAATAGTTTACATGCAGAGATTGGCAGCAGACAGCAGCTCGCAGAGTGGTGCTGTAATGTTGGATGATTCAGGGACAGCTCTGCTTACATTAGATTAAACTAATTACTTACAGTATCGCAAGTTATCGAATTGTGACCTTCATATCGTGATACTCCGGCCTACTGTAGAGGAAAGACACAAAGACACACAGCTCATCGTAGTTTCTTCTTTGCTTCAGCATCGACTCGCAGAGAGCACAGACACCCAGACAGCCCTCACCATCACAGCTCCATGAGGGAGCGTGTTTGGAGGAACGTTGTTCAGCCCAGTAGAGTTCAGAGACTCTTTCTTTGTCTGCTGTATCTAAAAGTCACACTTAGTTCTTGTGTATTTGTAGGTTGTGGCTCTCTCCTGGTCCTGGATGAGACGGAGACGGGGGTCGCTGTAGTCCGAAGGTAGAGTCTGCTTCTTTATTTACCTTCCTTCAGCTCTCTCTCTCTCGCTCTCTCTCAACATCATTTGTAGTTTCATTTGTTTGTCTTTTAACTGTTATCCTGTGAAATGAAGGATTGATCATCTGCAACAATCCCTGATTCATTCATAAATGTGAGTCAATACGATGACACAGGTGTGTGTGTGTGTGTGTGTGTTAGCTGGGAGTGGGGTGACGGTCTGTTCGACGTGGCGTGGAGCGAAGCCAACGAGCATCTCATGGTCGCCGGAGGCGGGGACGGCAGCCTGCAGCTGTGGGACACGGCCAATCAGGACGCTCCGCTGAGGGTGGCCAAAGAGCACACGCAAGAGGTGAGACGACTCCTCCACCGACGGAGGAAACATGAGGGGGAGGATGCTGAGTGTGTGACTCTGTGTGTGTGTGTGTGTGTGTGTGTGTGAAGGTGTATTCTGTAGACTGGAGTCAAACCAGAGGAGAGAACCTCATCGTCTCTGGGTCGTGGGATCAAACAGCCAAAGTGGTGAGTTTCCGTTCTGTTTTTTTGGACTTTCCGTTCTTTCGGCGCTGTGTTTTTTAAATGAATGTCTGTGTGTTGTTCGTTCCTGCAGTGGGACCCGGCTCTCAGCCAATCGCTGACCACGCTCAGGGGTCATGAAGGGGTCATCTACAGCACCATCTGGTCGCCTCACATCCCAGGATGCTTTGCTTCAGCCTCAGGTGGGAACGCACGCAACATGAGCTGTAGGGATTCATTGTTTTAGGGAGTGATGGAAAGAAAGGAGGGAAGGACCAGGAGACAACCTCCGGTTCTGCACCGGGTTTAGATGGAATCCCGTGTCAGAGTGGGAACAGTTGTGTAGTCTGGTCACAAGGTGGCGCTGCAGCTCTAACACGGTGGCTCTGCTCTGCTGGTGATTTTAAAGCTCCTCCTCTTGCTTCAGGACCTTCAGAGTCAGCTCCTTCATTGTTATGTAAAGAAAGAAGGTTTCACACAGAGCCGGTCAGCCTTCTCATCTTATTATGAGTTTAGTTATTTGGTGGATGAAAAGCACTTTATAAATGAAGTTTCTATTATTAATATTTGTTATTATCTGCATACACGGAGCAACTAGTTGGCGTCAGAGATGATAGCGTTCATGCTCTTTAGAGAGCAGGAAATGTCCCATTATGCTCAGCTAACTGCTGTTATTTAGTCTGTTGATTGGAGGGTTGTTCACATCACCTCATTAATAACCAAGCAGCTTGGTGCAGTCTGAAGGTACGGAGGACACAGATAGTCAGAGGCAGGTCTGCAGGTTCTCAGGGTATTTAATTAAACACACTCCAAGTAGTACAACAGAAACCTGGCTCAGTCCAGAGCTCCATCACACAACTAGAACATATAAAGTAGCTCAGCCGGGCCGCTAGACAGCTAACCGGTCTCTCTGATCAGTTTCCTGCTTCACAGTTATTCACCTCGCTGACGAGGAGATCGGCTCCAGGTGTGTCTCCTCCCACACCTGATGCCAAAGCTCTCCTGCAGGAGTGGGTGGAGCCCTCTGGCTGGAATGTAGATTCCTGTAACTACCCTGGACCTCAGCCCCTGACACACCCAGGCAGACTGAGGCTCCACCCACACGAGTACGTCTTAAAACAGGACGATCTCCGTCCACACAGCGTTTCAGCATCGTTTTCTAAATGATCTCCGTCCAGACGAGCACGCCTGAAAACCAATATCCCGGGACTCTCCACGTACACTGGGCATGCGCGTGGGTGCTGGTGTAAACAGGAAGTAGATTGGTTGCTTAGTTAAATAATAAAGTAGTCTTTAATAATGAAAGGTTGTGTTTGATGCTTAAAACCTCTTGCACATGATGCCCCCGAATTTGGGGGCTCTCGGGCTCAGCCCCCCTGAAAATATTGTTTGGAAAATGGACTTATTGTTCGCCAAAATTGTGGATTTGTACATTTTTTTTACCGGATTAAACAGCAACGTATGGGCAACACTATCATATAAGTCACTTTTTACACACTCCAAACACAACTATGGACTACTAATATAAGCATCTAGAAAAGAGCACAGTGGCCTCCATAATCCTTAAATGGAAGAAGTTAGGGACGACCAGAACTCTTCCTAGACCTGGCCGTCCAGCCAAACTGAGCAATCGTGGAAGAAGAGCCTTGGTGAGAGAGGTAAAGAAGAACCCAAAGATCACTGTGGCTGAGCTCCAGAGATGCAGTAGGGAGATGGGAGAAAGTTCCACAAAGTCAACTATCACTGCAGCCCTCCACCAGTCGGGGCTTTATGGCAGAGTGGCCCGACGGAAGCCTCTCCTCAGTGCAAGACGTATGAAAGCCCGCATAGACTATGAGAAATAAGATGCTCTGGTCTGATGAGACCAAGATTGAACTTTTTGGTGTTAATTCTAAGCGGTATGTGTGGAGAAAACCAGGCACTGCTCATCACCTGCCCAATACAATCCCAACAGTGAAGCATGGTGGTGGCAGCATCATGCTATGGGGGTGTTTTTCAGCTGCAGGGACAGGACGACTGGTTGCAATTGAAGGAAAGATGAATGTGGCCAAGTACAGAGAGATCCTGGAAGAAAACCTCTTCCAGAGTGCTCTGGACCTCAGACTGGGCCGAAGGTTCACCTTCCAACAAGACAATGACCCTAAGCACACAGCTAAAATAACAAAGGAGTGGCTTCGGAACAACTCCGTGACCATTCTTGACTGGCCCAGCCAGAGCCCTGACCTAAACCCAATTGAGCATCTCTGGAGAGACCTGAAAATGGCTGTCCACCAACGTTCACCATCCAACCTGACGGAACTGGAGAGGATCTGCAAGGAAGAATGGCAGAGGATCCCCAAATCCAGGTGTGAAAAGGTTGCTGCATCATTCCCAAGAAGACTCATGGCTGTACTAGCTCAAAAGGGTGCTTCTACTCAATACTGAGCAAAGGGTCTGAATACTTATGACCATGTGATATTTCAGTTTTTCTTTTTAATAAATTTGCAAAAATTTCTACATTTGTTTTTTTCTGTCAAGATGGGGTGCTGAGTGTACATTAATGAGAAATAAAATGAACTTTTTTGATTTTAGCAAATGGCTGCAATGAAACAAAGAGTGAACAATTTAAAGGGGTCTGAATACTTTCCGTACCCACTGTATATTAACCAGCAACATATACACAATATTTACCCATCTGAACAATCTCACAAGTGTTATCTGATTATAGCATCAAAAATTATTAAAATAGACGTAGTTACAGAAGTAACTTTTATTTTTCAGACTTAGTTACAAAGCTGTGGAGCTCTCTCTCTCTCTCTCTCTCTCTCTCTCTCTCTCTCTCTCTCTCTC